TAATTAGTATTACAAATTTATTAAATTTATTAAATTACTATTACTAATTTATAGGAGTATTACTAATTTATAGGTATTATTTTACAGTAATTATTATTACTAATGATATAAACAAAACTTGATATGATGGGCTTTTTTTTTTTTTTGAGACAGGGTCTCCCTCTGTCCCCCAGGCTGGAGTGCAGTGGGGCCATCTCAGCTCACTGCAAGCTCCTCCTCCTGGGTTTACGTCATTCTCCTGCCTCGGCCTCCCAAGTAGCTGGGACTACAGACGCCCGCCACCTCGCCCGGCTAGTATTTTTTGTATGTTTTAGTAGAGACGGGGTTTCACCGTGTTAGCCAGGATGATCTCGATCTCCTGACCTCGTGATCCGCCTGTCTCGGCCTCCCAAAGTGCTGGGATTACAGGCTTGAGCCACCGCGCCCGGCATGATGGGCTTTTAAAAAAATTACTCCCAGCTGGGTGCAGCGGCTCATGTCTGTAATCCCGGTACTTTGGGAGGCCAAGGCAGGTAGATCACCTGAGGTCAGAAGTTCAAGACTAGCTTGGCCAACATGGTGAAACACCGTCTCTACTAAAAAGATACAAAAATTAGCCAAGTGTGGTGGCATGTGCCTGTAATCCCAGCTACTTAGGAGGCTGAGATGGAAGAATTGCTGGAACCCAGGGATTGCAGTGAGCTGAGATCGCGCCACTGCAATCCAGCCTGGGCGACAAAATGAGACTGTCTCCAAAAAAAGGTTAAAAAAAATTTACTCCCTCCTGAGTAGATTGGCATCTGAAGTGTTTTTAAACAGTTGCCAACATTTTAATGCATATTCTAATCACATGATTGACTCAATATGTTCATTGTGTGAAAAAAGTTTACTTGAGCTGAGTGTTCATTATATTCACTTTAGACAATCTTAACAAGAAAAAAAGTTTTTAAAAATCTTGGCAAGAATGTGAACTCCTTGCCTTATGTAAGCTGGCTTACATCCCATTGCCTGTGGAGAGAGCAGAAAAAGGAAGGGAGAAAAATGGGGGTGCTAAACCTCTGCCCACGACTGTAAATGGAAAGAGGGAGGAATCCATCATGCTTATAAGCCAGTGACAGAAATGAACAGCCATATACATTCTATGGCCACAATTTTTGCCCTTCCTGCTCCCATGCTTCTGATGACTTGCTCATCTTTAATCCCCAACTGCTCTTCAAGAAACAGTTGCAGTTTATCCTGATGAGCAGGAACTGGGGTACAGCCATGTAGCCTTCGTAGTCAAGAAATGAGACTCAGGACCTGGCTACCTTTTGGAATTTCATTTCTGACTTTGACATTAATATGTTCCTTGAACGTGGAAAATTAACAGAATATAGTTAGGTATATAAAAGATTCTGTAAGACCTAAGGGAACCACAAGGAATATGTTGTATGAATTCACCTGAATGACTAAATCTCTCAGCTTCCTACTTCCTGGAGAGGATGTCCTGGCAGTAGCAGGGATCTTGGCCGGAGACATTTGTTGTTGTTATTGGTTTTAAGTTTGAGTTTTATTGTTTCCTCTTCATATTTTACTAAATTCTTAAATTGTGTTTTCAGTATTCTTCCGTTTTCCTTATCTTAGAGGAAAAGGAACGTTGGAAGTAGAGGGCTTTGAAGAAGAACTGGAAAGTAAGTGTTGACTTTCTTGTTCAATCTCCCTGACCCTGTAATTTTCACTGGCAAAGAGGAGAACATTCCAGGCAGAGTGAACTACAGAAGCAAAGAACTAAGGTACATGACATGGAAAGGATGGTGGAAATAAAGCTCAAAAAGCTCGTTTGGAGACAAATTGTGAAGGTCTGGAATGCCATAATAGTTGGAGTTTGGGCTTTGTTCTCTGGGCAATAGGAAACCCCAAATGCTTCCAGAGACAACAGACATGGTCATATTTATTTGTTAAGCAAATGACTTTGGTATCAATGTAGAGGATGGATTAGGAAGGAGTCCAGGATACCAGTTAGAAAGCAGTTTAAACAGTTTAGGGAGCTGATGGTCCAAATTAAGGCAGTTTGGGTATAAATGGGTCATACTGGAAAGAATTATGTCAGAGAAGGTATTCATGAGACTTAGTCATATAAAGGGCAGAAAGATAACTTAGGGGAAAAATGATCTAAATCATTGTGAGCCTGAGATTAAAAGGGTACCATTAATAAAGAAGGGATTCTTGGAGGAGATATTTAGTAGAGTTTGTGTTAAATCTGTTGAATTGGAAGTGTTCCTGTGACATCTAAATGACAGAGTCCAGAGAGCTAGAATGTTGGGGTTAGAGCTCACAGAAAGGGTTGGGGGACTAACGATAAATATTTGGAAGTCTTCAGCATAGTCAAGATAGGTGAAATTTCAGAAATGGATAAGGTTGCCTATAGAGAGAGAGTATAGCATGGAAGAGGAGACAGCTCAGGACAGAAACTTGTAGTTGAGGAGTTGCCAGAAAAGAGGCTGAGAAAGCCATCTGAGATAGAAGGACCACACTGCAGAAGCTAATGAAGGAAGTGGCAATTGTTCAGAAAGACCATTTAAAGGAAATATTAAGTTTCGATTTTAAAGAAGTTACTAGGTGCCTTCTGAAAAGGCATTTCCAAGGAATGAGAAACAGGAATGAAATCCTAGTGGTTGGGACTTGGGTAGGAGGCAAAGACGTATAAGTAAGGCACAAAAATTGCTCTTGAGAAAGATTTTGTAGTGAAAGAAAGAGGAGAAATGTGGCTTGAAAGGAAGAAATTTCTACTTGTCTAGGTCATTGGTTTGCAAAGCACTTTTACATCCACAGGGTCACTTTATTCCCAAGGAAACTCTGAAAGGTAGGAAGGGCAAATATTTACACTCTTGGGAACAAACTCAGGTTAAAAAGAAGTTAAAAGGCTTGCCCAAAGTCAATTATAGCAAATAAGGGGAAGAATTGGATTTAGAATTCAGGTCATTTGACTCTTATTCCAGTGATCTTTCTACTGTGCCCAAACAGAACATTTCTAAAGTGTTCACTCTATTTGGATATTGGATACTAGACAGCATCGGGCTCCTTGTTAAAGGGTTTTGACCTCATCCGGGGTTAATGGCAAGTTGCTGGAAGGTTTTGTGCCAGGGAATGCTATGTTTCAGTTAATGCCTGATGGAACAAATCTGGCAGTGAGGTGTAGGATGCATCAGCAGAACAGACACCTGGTGGTGGGGAGGGGTTAGAAAATGAGAACAATTAGCTTCAAACAGAAACACAACTTTTGATACGCATTCAATCACATGCTGAGAAAGTGATTTCCCTTCAGGTCTCCATACCCTATTCTGTTTGTATTTAGGAGAAGTTCTCAGTTTGTCAGTATATTTTTAACATGTTTCAAATACTCTCTCTTTTTTTTGAAACGGACCCAGGCTGGAGCGCAATGGCACGATCTCCACTCACCGCAAGCACCACCTCCTCGTCCCCAAACAAGCTTTTTGAGCTTTATTTCCACCATTCTTTCCATGTCATGCACCTTAGTTCTTTGCTTCTGTAGTTCGCCCTGCCTGGAATGTTCTTCTTCTCCTCTTTACCAGTGAAAATTACAGTCAGGGACACCGAACAAGAAAGGTCAATACTTATTTTCCAGTTCTCCTTCGGAGCCCTCTACTTCCAACATTCCTTTTCCTTTAAGATAAAGGAAAAGGGAAGAACACTGAAAACACAATTTAGGAATTTAGTAAAATATGAAGAGGAAACAATAAAACTAAAACTGAAACCTCCCGAGTAGCTGGGATTACAGGCATGCGCCACCACACCTGGCTAATTTTTGTATTTTTAGTAGAGACAGGGTTTCACCACATTGGCCAGGCTGGTCTTGAACTCCTGACCTCAAGTGATCCTGCTGCCTTGACCTTCCAAAGTTCTGGGATTACAGGCATGAGCCACCTCACCTGGCATTTTGACTACTCTCTAATCTCCCTTTTGAACAAAGAAAGAATAGGACTCAGGCTGAGAACATTTGTAAAAATTGCATCTTGCTAAAACTGAATTACATTGTTTCCTGTTCACTCTGTTTTTATGGTTACTTTCTACTTATGACAAGTAGGATTGATTTATCATTTATTGTAATTACAGAAAGTTTACTGTACATCTTAGTAAAAAAGTCAAATTAAGGAAAAATATACCTAAGACAAGTGGTATGCCTCTATGGAGAAATTATATAAGTGTGTATTCTAATGACTAGAGTTTGGGAAATTATGGTCTTTGAGAGTATTGCAATAGGAGTAATAAGGGTTCAGACCAGAGTGGGATGTTGGTAACAGGTAATGACAAGAAAAGAAGGCTCTGATAGATGTTTTAAGGGAATTAAAGGAGAGGAAAACTGTTGTTTCTTTGAGGGTATTTTCTGCCTCATTTCTCAGGATGGTTTTGACCGTAACAGTGAAAAATAAAAAAGTCTTATACAGTGGAAGGAATTTATTACCTCATATATCAAGAAGCCCTGAGGTAGGGTGGCTCCAGGAATGCTTAAGTGAGTAGCTCATTGACATCACTAAACACTTTGCTTCCATCGATCTTCCAGCCTCGCCAAAAAGGGCTGTCCTCATGACTTCAAGACAGCTGATACGGTGCCAGGAATCTCATTATGGACATACGATGTTCTCAGTGCAAGAACAAGACATCTCTTCTTGAGCTGAACAGTGAGGGATGAAGCAAACTTTCCCTGAAGGCACCTCCACCAAAATATTATTCTTCAAGATTTGTTGGACAAAAATACATCACATATTCATGCATAAACCAATCACTGCAAAGGGGAATCAAATTACCATACCTAACATAACCTAATTAGGATTTATTCTCTGAGCTGGGGAGATCTTTTCCCTGAAGAATGGAGTTCTCAAGATAATAGGGGCTCTGCTAACAAATATGGTTGGTAGGCAGTCAACCATGTCTTCTACAGCTCCTATGGAGAGCTGCAGGTGTTCTCTGGGTACCAGTGGTTCTGAAATTCTTCAAATTCACCCTTGAACGTAAGTGGCAAATTCTTGAGACTTGTAGTTTTATTTCTGAGAATGTTACTTAGCTCTTCTTTCCATGTGTTGGGTTAAGGCAGAACGAAATACTTCTGTTGCAAAATCAACTTCTGGTTTAGTGATGCACATTGAGGGTGCAATGCGAAATGTCTGAGGAGACACCGGAAAATAAGAAAACAAATCATCAGAGAATCAAATATGACTTCGAGGAAATACACTGAACTAAAAATCCAAAACCTTGTGTTTAGGACATTTCTCATGTTCCTCTTGGTTTGGCTCCTCCTCCCTCCCCAATGCTGGATCCAGGCCATTCACCCTCCAGTCTCCACAAAAACCCTTGTACAATTTGGCTCTGCCCCTTTTCCTTTTGTCATACATTTACCTCCTGGCCCTTCTACACCTTCACTGAAGTCTTAGGCCCCTCTCTATACTCCATTTCTGCCCATGGACTTCCATGTCCATATGCGCAACCCAGCAAACTCGCTTCTCACTGCCCTTATTGCCACAACTCCCAGAATCTTTATGTCCACCCCTCTGCATCCATTCATACCCATGACCAATGCCACGAGTCTCCTTATTGCCAGGAATAACTCAATTTCTGATCCCCACTACAGCTCTCCTTTTCATGAAAACTTCAGAATCCTCATTCACCCATTGTCTTCAGGTCTATTGCTCCACTCAGGTCTCCTCTTTCCTTTCCACCCAGCTCAGAACACAGAATTGACTGAAGTAGGCTTGCACTTGCTCCTCATTTTGCTTGCATTTCTACCCTTCTGCTGCACCTACACAGTCAATCCCAGCCCTAATAAAATATTTTATTAAATGGCTTTTCTCCAATCTAGATGGCTGAGAAGAGCTAGAGAAAAATCACACAACTAGGCTGAGTGATATGCTAGATATTCAGGGTCTCCAACTTCTGTGGGTCCCTCCAGCTTTTCTTGTTCACTGTCCTTTTTCAATCTAAACTTTTATCATTCCTCTCAATTTCCTTACTCAACTCCTGCGTCTCTCCCTCTATTTCATAGACAATCAGGCCTCATACTTCTCAGAAAACGGAAGCTGCTGGGCAAGATAAACTTGTTTGCTCTTACATCCATTGTTATAACCTTACCTGAAGGCTCAGAGAACAAGATGTATTTGCTGTTCAACTCCAAATTGTCCACCTATGCCCTTGACCCTGGATTCTCCCATCACCTTCACAGGAAACATCCCTTCAACTTCCCCTTAGCCTATAAACAAGCAGGCTTAAAGCTCTCATAACCCCCATCTAGACCACACCAAATACAAATCTGTGTTGACCACCTTGTCCCCTATGGCTACCTCGCAAATGCTTTCTTCCTGCTTTTAGCCACAGCATTAAAAAGACCGGTTGGTGCTTATTGGCCATTATTTATCACTTTGCCCTTCCCCCATTCACATCTCAATTGGCTGTAGTCTGACTTCTGCTGCATCAACTACTCTACTAAAGTTACCTGCAAGTGTGGAATCCACTGGGCATCTTCCAGCTCTCATCCTCTGTGGCCTTCTCTGCACTTGACTCTTTGGAATTCCCCACCCCACTTCCTGAACCTCTCCCGTCTCTTTCTTCCATGACTTCACACTCTTCTTACTCTCTTCATCCCTGTCCACGCTTTCTGCCTCTACCTGGGCAGCTTTTTCCTTCTCCTGCCCTTTATTATTATTATTATTTATTATTTATTTACTTATTTTTTTGAGACAGAGTCTCCGTCTGTTGCCCAGGCTGGAGTGCAGTGGCACGATCTCGGCTCACTGCAACTTCCGCCTCCCGGGTTCACATGATTCTCCTGCCTCAGTGGACTCTCTCTTGCTCTTCATACCCATGTTCTGTGCGTTTTCCAGGATTATCCTCAGAATGTCTCCTCTATCTTTACTACCACAGTTGAAGTTCAAACAGTGTCCTTGGCTCCCAGAGGGACTCCCTGTCTCCAGTCTTGTCCCCTTAGATTTGTCCTCCTCAGAGGACAGATTCTGACAGACTGCCTGAGTTTGGCTCCTGGTTCTGTCATTACTTAACCTCTCTGTGTGTCTTTTCCTTTATCTGTAAAATAAGGATAATAATAATACTTGTTTTACAGGCTTGAGCATTGAATGAGTCAGTTTATGCAAAGTGTTAGGACAGTACCTGACAAGCAGGAACGGCTTCATACCAGCTCCACTGACTACCTCAAGCCTTTGCGCTAGCCACATCTGTGTGGTGCAATGTGGTGTGCAAAATCAGTTATTTGTACTCTGCCATGTTTCATGCACAGTTTGGTTGTTTATCTCATTATTTAAGATTCTACCAGCCAAAAAGCCTGGCCTGGAAGTCCCTTCTCTCTCTCCCTTGAATACCTTTTAAAAAATATTTATAGATGAGCTTACTACATTGTATTATAATTTTCTATGTATTTGCCTTTCTCTCCCACCAGCTCCATGAAGGAAGGAACAGATCTTAGTTATCACCATATTAGGTTGGCGCAAAAGTAATTACAGTTTTTGCAATTAAAAAAACCCCACAAAAACTGCAATTACTTTTATACCAACCTAATAGTTTCAGTTTCCAGAATAACATCTGTTGCTTATAAGCACATAACAAATTTTGCCAAATAACAAAGGAAGAGCTAAGCAAGTACACAAATATCTCATGTCTTTATAAATTACATGTCTTAGGATTCATAATCATTAAATTATGCTATCTGATTTGTACAGAAAAATATTTATGACTAGGACTAGAAAAAAAAATCATGGAGCACATCCCAACAAAAGTGCTCATTCTGGTTTTGTTGTTTGGGCTGGGAGAACTTTAAGTCTGTTTTGTTTAAAGGGGAAGTTGGGGAAAAGCTGAAGATGCAAGAAAACATGGGGATGTTTCCTTGAGTGAAGGTGGAGGGAGCTTGGAGAAACAAGCGCACAGATGGAAGATCTAGATTTGAACAGGAGAAATGTCTCATTTCTGGAACCTTCAGGGAAGGAGGTGCTATGATCTGGACATTTGTGCCTCTGCCCCTTGAATTCCTGTGTTGGAACCCTAACTCCCAAGGTGATGGTCTTGCAAAGTGGGGCCTTTGGGAAGTGATTAGGTCAGGAGGGCACAGCCCATGAAGCCCCAGGGAGTTCTCTTGCCCCTTCTGCCATATGAGGTCACAGCCGAAAGATGGCTGCCTAAAAAGAGCGCCCTCACCAGACACTGAACTTGCTGGCACCTTGACCTTGGACTTCTCTGCCTCCAGAACTATAAGGAATGAATTTCTATGAAGTATAAGCCACCCAGTCTATGGCACTTTGTGACAGCAGGCTGGGGGGACTAACACAGGGGGAAAGAATAAATGTGGGGACTGATGAGTTTATATAGAGGTTTTGCCTGATAGTTTCAATTTTATCTGAGAAATATGAGGCAAGAAGTAGGTATTTCAGTATCCACTGAAATTGTGAGAGGCAGGGATGGAGCAGGGAAACTGGGAAGGATGAGGCATGTTTAAAATGGGAAAGAAAGTTGACAAAGGACAGGACAAATTAGGGAGGAGCAGATGTTACCTTCTCTCTTAAGTCTCTGACCTGGAGCCCATTCCTGGGGAGGGGCTTGTTGCTGTGAGGGATTGAGTGGCAGCTCACTTCACTCACGGCAGCAGCAGCCCTAGGGCAGTGCGTGCAGGGCAAGCCAGGGTCCCCACTGTGGAGCTGGGCGTGGCTTTTCAAGGAAGGGAGTGAGGAGGGCTCCACTCGCTGAATCTCCCAGCCTAAGGGTGAGGGACACCGGCTGTGGCTGATTTTGAGTTGGGCATTGGGGGCTATGCCCAGGTGGTCCTCCATCTCTCCGACAGGCGTCACCCGGGCCTGCCAATGCTGTCGGGTTGCTCCCGGCCACAGAGGCCACTAAGGCTTAGCAGGGTCACCAAGTCAGAACCCAGGGCTGAGCTAAGAACAGCCAGAATTGCTTTCACAGGGACTAGGATTAATTATACAGGAGACAAATTATTTATAGCATGACTGTGATGTTTCTTATCATCTGTACTGTAAGTTGTCTGCTTTGACCATCCTGTGTCTGCCTCTATCTTTACCAGAGTCGCGACTACCAAACCATTTTCACTCAGCGCCCTCTCGTGGCCCGATAGGTGCACTGTCCCCGCCTTTTTTTTTTGCATACCCGAGCTTCATCCCTAGATGACATGTGGCTGGGTACCCCGGCACAGTTGTGAAGAAACTGTGACCAGCACTAGGAAACCAGAGAGACTCCTACCTAGAGCGATAGGTAAAGACCAGTCTTTCTCTTACCTGAGAAAAAATGCCGCCTCTGCCAACGAGGAGCCCCATGTGCTTGCAGTCCTCATGGATCTGATTCACTTCTTCACGGGGAAGAGGTCGGCGGCTCATCTGTAAATATATTTTTAGAAAGCTTTCTATTTGGTGTTGGAATGGTTACAGGAATTATTTCCAAGAGAGGAAAAAGGAAAAACCCTCCAGCCATCAATGCCCCTCTTTTTTTCTCTCTCTCCCTCTTTCTCTCTGTCCTCTCCTTCCCCTGTAATTAAATAAAGTTGCTAATTGCTGAACCAGATTTTTGGAGGATGTTATTAAAAATGTTTGTTTTTAATCCCAAGTCATCCCAAATTCCCAAAAGACAAAATGAAGTTCTGTGCGGATAGTCAGTGAATCTTAGCTTTGCTAATGGCTGCCTTGGGAGTCTGGTTTCTTAATAGCTAAATTTGGAGTCTGTTTTACGTGGAAATTCTCCTTAACTTTTCACTTTGTTCTGCCCATGGAAAGGGCTCATTTCAAAGGCCACGAAATGGCTTAGAAGTTGCGCAAAGGCACCAGCAGCCTGAGCTTTCCCTGGGCAGCGCGGTGGGACAGCTGAGGAGCTAATTTCCCTGCTTGCAGGACTTGCTCTTTCTCCCCCAAGACTCTATCCTCCAGGGTTAGGAAAGGTAAGTGCTTCCAGGAGCCGAGAGGCTGTTCAGATCCCCGGCCATCCAAAGCAGGTCCCCTCCCTGTGGGGTCAGACATTGAACTGACTTGCATCCTTTCTGTGCATCTCCTGTCTTCCCAGTCTGTGAGTACAAATGTCTCCCTCTGACTTAGTCATGTTATACCTGAGAGCATATCTGCATTACCTGGAAGGCTTTCAGACGACAGATATTTGGGCCTCATGCTAGGCCAATCGAATTAGAATGTTTGAAGTAGGGCTTAGGCATCTGCATTTTTAAAATGGTCCTCAGGTGCCAGGGCTAAGCCCTGCTCTAATTTTTCCACGATGAGAGCCGAGGCCTGTTGCTGCCATGGTTTCTCCGTAGCCCAGCCTCACTGAGCTTCTGCACCGGGCTGGTTCTCCGGTTTTAGATACATAAGACATGAACCTCGCTCTGGGTCAGCCCTTGCGATCCTCGTGAGGTAGGCGGGGCCCCTCCAGTGTGCCCAGCTTCATTACATCCTCCGCACTTCCTACCCACCCTCGCTCTAGGCTTTGCTATCCACTTCCTTCTTCCCACCAACCCCAGATCCAACTCTTTCCCCAATCCTCTATTTCTTGTAATAAGAAGGGACCTCCTAGAGAGATATGCTCATTTTGGTCTGTCTTAAAGCCTTAAGATAAGCAAAATACATATTCAAACTTTCAGACTATTGGATCAGAAAGGAACTGAGGGAGAGGGAAGGACTAGAATCTTCTCATTGACCCCAAAATGCTATCATGCATTCCTGCTTATGATTGATTGGAAAGGGTCAATGAAAATAATTTAGGGCTAAACTGTGAGAACTAGAAGGGCATTAAATATGATTCAAAAGGCCAGAGGGACCAGAGAGTAATCTGGAGGGAAGGTTGGATTGGGGGTTCAGTTCTTTTGTTGTTGTTGTTGTTGTTTTGATTTTTGAGTCAGAGTCTCACTCTGTTGCCCAGGCTGCAGTGCAGTGGTGCAATCTCGGCTCACTGCAACCTCTGTCTCCTGGGCTCAAGTGATTCGCCTGCCTCAGTCTCCCGAGTAAGTGGGATTACAGCCACCTGCCACCACACCTGGCTAATTTTTGTATTTTTAATAGAGATGGTGTTTCACTATGTTGGCCAGGCTGGTCTCGAACTCCTGACCTCAAGTGATCCACCTCAGCCTCCCAAAGTGCTAGGATTACAGGTGTGTCACCATGCCTGGCCCAACATGACAGTTTTGAATGGGCGGAGTCTGTGTGGCTTCACCCAACCTTGCTCTGGGCCAGCACCCTCTTGGCTCCCTTGCCCATTTTATTCCTCCCTGGCCTTAACTGCTATGGCTAATTGAACATCTTGTATGCCTTCTTCAGGGAAAAAAGCAGAGTCTGAAACTCTACTGAGGCTAAAGCCATAGCGCAGCCTGCTGAGGCCTTGTGCCCATGTCTATGCCCCAACTACCTGATAATGAAGTGGGCATGTTACTAATTCAACTTCTTGATGAGTGTATAATGGAGCGTTATGTTTATCTCTTTTGGTGAATCTATATTTAAAGAATTATAAACTTAATATTTGAAAATAATTCAAATGTTCTGGAAGTACATAAAGTAAAACCAGAACATTTCTCCACTTCCTATCCTATTCCAAGGGACACCTCCTATTAACAATTTGGTGCGAACCAGATACTTTTTCTACGCATGTAAATACATCTATATGCATGTTTAAAAAAATAAGTCATTTTATAATTTTTGGCAATTTCCTTTTAATAATATATAGTATATCCTGGACATCTTTCCATGTCAGTATATTCGGACCTAATCTTCTTAAAGGTTACCTAGTATTTCATTGCAGTAAGTTGCTCAATCTCCTAATGTTGAGCATTTAGGTTGTTTCCATTTTTTCATGGTTATAAACAATGCTGCAAATATTCCTATTCATACATATTTTTAGACACTTTTGAAAGTATTTCTTTGGGACACACTTCTAGAAATTGCCAGGTATGTTAGCCCATTCTTGTGTTGCTGCAAAGGAATACCTGAGACTGGGTAATTCATAAAGAAAAGAGGTTTAATTGGCTCACAGTTCTACAGACTGTACAAGCATGGCTCCAGCACCCACTTCTAGTGAGGGCCTCAGGAAACTTACAATCATGGCAGAAGGCAAAGGGTGAGCAGATGGGTCATGTGGTGAGAGCAGGAGCAAGAGAGGGAGTGAGGAGGTGCCACACATTTTTAAACAACCAGATCTCACATGAAGTCACTCATCGCCAAGCCACTGATGAGTTATCTGCCCCCATGATCCAAACACCTCCCACTGGCTCCACCTCCAACACTGGGGATTACATTCCAATCTGAGATTTGGAGGCGACACGTATTCAAACCATATCACCACGTAAAAATGTATAGACATTTAAAATTTGGAGAGCTACAGACAAATTGCTGTCCAAAGGGCTGTACCTCCTTACCAACAGAATATGAGAGTACCTATCCCGGGTGATGCTGGACAGCATTATAGCAAAGTTCTTGGGTGTTATAACTACATGAATGTGGTATGATGTGTTGCAGGGGCCTGAAATTAATCGACAAACACAAAGCACTCACCATCTATATGTTTCCTGGTCTCAAAAGTGTAAACTTATTTAGGAAAATAAGATATTTATACATAAAAAGTGAGTAAACGAATACAGATTAAGTGACACAGACTGAATGTCTGTGTCCCTCAAAATTCATACATTGAAACCTAATATCCAAAGTGAAGGCATAATATTTGGAGGTGGGACATTTGAGAGGTGATTAGGTTACAAGAGTGGAACCCTCATGAATGAGATCAGTATCCTCATAAAAGAGGCCCCGGAAAGCTCTTTTGCCTCATTTACCATGTGAGGGCACAGCAAGAAGGCACCATCTATGAACCAGAAAGTGGGCCCTTGTCGGACACCAGGTCAACCTGCTCCTTGTTCTTGGACTTTCCAGTCTCCAGAACCATGAGGAATACATTTCTGTTGTTTATAAGACATCCAATGTATAGAACTTTGCTATAGCAGCCTGAATGGACTAATATAGTGGGAAAGATCTTTTCAAAGCAGTTCCTTAGACAGTGAGTACCAGAGGAATTCTCTGAAGGGTGGATCTCTTGGATAGAGCAGAAGCAAAGGCAAGCTTTAAGGAGATGCGATGGAGAGCTTGATCTTGAAAAAGACTAGGATTTCCATAGGTAGATATAGAGGGGAAAATACCATGTTCCATGGTTGAGGAAAAGTTTGAGTGGCATTTGGATTTGGAGAGTGAATGGCATTGAGCGCACAGTGAGTAGAATTAGGGGATGTAGGAGCTGGGATTTAAATCCAGGTGGTCTGCCCTTAGAGCCCATGCTTATATTAACAAATGGTTCAGCGAAGAGAAAAAGAGCCCCTTCTATAGATACTACTTTATAACCTCGCTCTAGTTTGGATATTTGACCCTCCAAACCTCAAATGGAAGTTTGATCCCCAGTGTTGGAGGTGGGTCCTAAAAAGAAGTGCTTGGATGGTGAGGGCAGATCCCTCATGAATGTCTTGTGCTGTCCTCTCCATAATGAGTTCTCATTCCATTAGTTCCTTCTAGAGCTGGTTGTTGGAAAAAGCCTGGCACCTACTCACCCCTTCCTTCTTGCTTTCCCCTTCTCTCTCTCATCATGTGATCTCTGCATATGCCAGCTCCTCTTCCCCTTCCACCATGAGCAGAAGCAGTCTGAGACCCTCATCAGATGCAGATGCTAGTGTCATGCTTCCTGTACAGTCTGAAGAAACATGAGCCAAATAAACATATTTTCTTTAGAAATTACCCAGCCTCAGATATTCCTTTATAGAAACACAAATGGACTAAGAAAAACCTGTTTTATTGTTTCCATGATATAGCTTGCACATATTTCCATGTCACATATATATCTATGCCATTATAGTGGGGAGATGCCATAAGCTAGCTTGTTTTGTATGAATGGTCATCTGGGAGGGGGATTCTGGTGTTTTACTAAGACAAAGTTGTGATGAACATCTTTGTTCATCTGACTTTAAGCACACAGAGGTTGGGTTCGGAACAGAGAAAAAGGAAGAACTCCTCCTCTCTCATTGGGCTTTCCTCTCCCGAGTCTACACTTTGAGGAGTATAGACAGCTTTGAGGGAACCCCTTGGGTGGAGATTATGGTGAACTCTTCTGAGCCTTGCAATAACTCTTGTACTTGTCCACACACTTAAATACGTTATAGCTTGTTAGAAGTTCTCCATTGTAGAAAGCAAGTTGGGGTCAAAACAAATAAATAAATAAAATGACCCGTGAGCTGGGGATCTTAGTTTCATATTACCCTTTGTTTACTTTCCTGATGTCTTCCCTTGGCTTTCAAATCTTATTTAAACATCCCAGCTTTGCACTGGCTCTGACATGTGGTATGAATTGAAGAGACTTATACCCATGTCTGGTCTAAAGAGTAAAAAATTGAGCATCAGTACTTCTAAAGTAGAATGGTGGTAAGACCAAAGAGCTAGAAATTGCTAGGGAAAGCTGGATCCCTGTGGACATGAGGTTAGTCTGGCTACTCCTCCCTTCTCCCAAGATTCTCCTGCTCTTCTCAGGCTTTGATTTTATGGAGGAAAGGCACAATATCCTATGGGCATTTACTATAGGGATTGCAGTAGAAACAAAGGGAAATATTTGAGAGATATGGCAGAGAAGGGATCAATGGGTCTTGATGCTGGAAACAAGGGAAGAGGAGGAGTCAGATGATTTTGTGGTATGGAGGCTGAGTAATTGGAAGAATGGTGGAGGGTGAGAAACAAACAGAGATCTTGGGAGAAATATCTGGTTTGGGGGAAGATGCTAAGTTCAATTGTTGTTATGATGAGTTAGAGGTCTCAGTGGGCAACATTCCTCCCTGGTTACTTGGGAGGTTGAAATCCATTCACAAGTAAGTAAGCATGCAAACAAACAAAAAACTCAACGTAAGCCAGGCACGGTGGCTCACGCCTGTAATCCCAGTACTTCAAGAGACCACGATGGGCAGATCACTTGAGGTCAGGAGTTTGAGACCAGCCTGGGAAACCTGGCAAAATCCTGTCTCTACAGGTGCGTGCCTGTAATCCCAGCTACCCGGGAGGCTGAGGATCGAGAATAGCTTGAACCTAGAAGGCGGAGGTTGCAGTGAGCCAAGATAGCACCACGGCACTCCAGCCTGGGTGACAGAGTGTGACTCTGTCTCAACAACAACAAAAACAACCCCTAATATATATTGAACTTCCTCACCCCAAACCTTCACCATAACCTTTTCCTGGCCCTTCTTTCTTACTTCCTTCTGTTTCTCCCCAAATAATTTCCTCCCTTCCCTGTATTTCTAAGTATTCAGTCATTGCCTATGCTCTTTGCCTAGGATGGCAAGGATAATGTTGGTTTCTTTTCCCAAATGCTCTCCCTCATCCCTCTAGAATTCTTGGTGATCTGCCAACATTTTGTTCATACTCAACACTCTCTATTAATCTCTAAAGGGCTTTGCTGAAAGCTTGCTGTTTGTATGTGCTCTCTCCCTGAGAGTAAACGAAGTTTAGCTAATGTTTCCTCCTATATCTCCCGCTGGCCCAAGCAGCTGCAGAGAGAGGAGCAGATCAGCACCTACCTTATCCTGCACCATTTCTATGCCTATCATGAGGCCTTTGCCTCGAACGTCTCCAACAATTTCAAACTCATCCCGCAGCTTAGCAAATTTTAGTAACATGTAGGTCCCAACTTCTTGACTGTTTTCCTGTAGATTTTCTTCTTTAATCACCTGTTGAGAGAAAGCCCCAAATGATCTCACATGGCAGAAGTTTTAAGACTGACTGAGAATCGTGGAGAAGTCATCGGACATGGCCCTCTTGTAACCTAACCAAACAGAATCCAGAACAAGTCTAGTGTGACCACAAGGACTACAAAAAGATTTGTCGTAAGGAGAGAAGAAAAGTCTTAGGGGAAGGGATATGCTTCTGCCCCCAACTCCCTCACCTTCAGAGGTGGCTAAGAATTCAGGAAAGAATAGGCCAGGCGTGGTGGCTCACACCTGTAATCCCAGTACTTTGGGAGGCCAAGGTGGGCGGATCACAAGGTTAGGAGTTCGAGACCAGCCTGACCAATAGGGTGAAACCCCGTCTCTACTTAAAAAAAAAAATACAAAAATTAGCTGGGCTCAGTGGTGGGCTCCTGTAATCTCAGTTACTCAGGAGGCTGAGGCAGAAGAATCACTTGAACGTGGGAGGTGGAGGTTGCAGTGAGCCAAGATCGCGCCACTGCACTCCAGCCTGGGTGACAGAATGACACTTTGCCTCAAAAAAAACAAACAAAAAATAATTTAGAAAAGAATAAAAGGTGTGTCTCAATGCAGTTGAAAATGTAGATTCTAAAATCCCAAGGCTTGTTATTGTCAGGTTTTGCTGAGAACTGGGATATAGTCATGAATAAGATGAATGCTCTGAGGAAAGAAATCTCACAGGTGCTTTCCCTACTGGAAGATGGAGACCTTTGCTCAGCAGTCCTCAGCCAGACGTGGGCTCTCATGGCCCAAGCAACCTGGTCTGGGGCTCTGGCCTCTTTGGCTGAGCCCAGAGCCAGGGCACCAGAGGATATAAAATGATTTTTATCTCAGTTCTACTTACAGCAAACACCCGGGGTTCTTGACAAGACACATGAAAAATACTGTATTTTTATTTAGCTGACAATAATTGCATGACTCCAGGCAAACCTTGTTATTTTTAAAGACCTATTTCTTCACCTAAACGTTCTCTACCTTCTAAATTGGTTGAGGTAACAAAGCACTTTTTAAAAGAAGTTGGCAATGTCAGCTCATGTTTGTAATACCAGCACTTTGGGAGGCCGAGGTGGGTGGATCACTTGAGGTTCGGAGTTTGAGACTAGCTGGCCAACATGGTGAAACCCCATCTCTACCAAAAATATAAAAATTAGGTGGGCATGGTGGTGCATGCCTGTAATCCCAGCTACTCAGGAGACTGAGGCATGAGAATCTCTTGAACCCAGGAGACAGAGGTTGCAGTGAGCCTTGGTTGTGTCCCTGCACTC